AGGTGTTGAGCTACATATTACTGATCATATTTACCACAAACACATTTAATAATCAGTGCTGTAAATGTACTCAAGTACTGTACATAAGTAGAATTGTGAGATATGTGTACTTTACTTGAGTTTTTCAATGTGTTGCTACTTTGTACTTTTACTCCACTACAATTATTTAACACCTTTAGTCACTTTGAATATTTGGATTAATGATGTGAGATATAAACAAAACTTAAATATAAGACTTTAGTTACACCTGGAGTAGAATTACAAGCTACCCTCCAGTATACAAAGGGATTAGCTGCACTTTTAACAGCTCTGATAAACACTTTAATGCAACAATAAGTATAATCAAAACATAGAATATATATATTATTTTGTAATGGGACAATTTGCATAATGAGTACTTTTACTTTTGGTACTTTAAGTATATGTTGATACTAAAACTTTTCTACTTTTACTTTCCTACACTCTAGTACTTTTACTTAAGTACAGGATTTGAGTACTTCTCCCACCTCCGTTAATGATGAATGATTGAACAGGGTAATTGTAAAAATCATATATCAAAATGTACAGTTTTCTGCAATGACCCTAAAAAAAAAGGTCTTTCTGTTGTAGACTTGGTATGTGATTTTGGTTGTATGTAACCTTAAGCTCTGATAATTGTTACCACTTGTCAATGTTTTTTGACTAAATTATCAATCAAGACATTTGACAGATGAATAAATAGTGAAAAGTCAGGGATTTATAATGAATTGCCATGTGGCCTGGTCTCATTGTGAATCTGTTTTGTCTTGACTCCTTGCATGATGAAGCCCTTGAATGCTACATGAAGCTGTCAAAGATAAAGCTCAACAAGCTGGATTCAAAGGTTTGGGTCGCTTTGAGCATACTCTGCACACATGACACAAAATGCAATCATCTGATTTAGGTGGCAGTTTATCCACTGTATTCAGATATTAATTATATATGTACAGCTTTTATAATGGAAAACGTATCTTCTCCTCAGAGCATAGAAGAGTTGAGAGAGGAGTCAATAAGCTGTAAGTATCCATAACTAAAACGTGAATAGCTATTTAGAGATTTTTGTAAACTGTATATTTTTTCATTTGATTACTTTCATATTACTTCCCACACAGCCCAGTACATCACAGGAACCTCTCAGGTAAATAGACCTCTGTGTTTATTGTAACAGTTAAGTCTTGACTATATTAGTATCTTTTAATGTTTTGTTTATTTTATTTTCAACAGTTAGACTTCACGTATCAAGATGGCAGGGCTGCTGCCTCCTGTTCCGTTATACACATGTCGGTGGAAGATGATGGTAAGAGCAAGAAAGCAATGGGCATTTTTTTTAAACAAACCATGGCAGATAGAGATTGTGGAAACCTTGACTTTTACTTTTAAAGGTTGTAGAAACCCTGCAATTAAAAAAAAAAAAGTATATAATTGCTGGTATTGTTTTTTGTTCCCTTCTCCTTAAGGGGTGGCTAGCAATGAAACGACTCAGCTGTCGACGGTCTCATTGGATGAGAGTCAGAGAAACATTTATTTTACAGACTTCCAGCCTGAGGACCAAGATGAAGAGCTGGACATGACCCTGAGGAATCTTGGCAGTTCTCTAGTGGAGCTGTACCCCAGCATGATCAGCCGATTAGGGCAGGCCTGCCGTCGGCAGCAGGTCTCTGATGCCGCTGACTCTGTGCTGAGGAGGTACTGCAGATGGCGAAAGCAGTCAAACAGAAGCAATCTGAACAACACCTTCAATGTCCCGCTGATATACACCAACAGAAAACCTAAAAACATGACCGACCAGATGCTGCTGGAGGAGAACACCAACAGCCCTGTGAAAAGGCAGTTCATGGTCGCTGAACCTACCCATCGGTCTCCCTTGAAGATAGTTAACAAAATTCAGTATTTGGAAGTCCAGCAGCAGTCTCCTAGGAGGGAGAGAAGAGAGCATCCCATGGTCACGATGGACTTTGGTCCTTATGAGACTTTAATGCAAACAGAGAGTTGTCTGAACGAGACCTTCGCTGTCTCTGAAGCATCCCAGCTGGAAGAACAGCCCTCCATTCACACAGTCAGTCCTTCACGACCTTGCTATCCTGCTGCAAGAGCATCTTTGGACGCGTCTCTCAGGTCTGGAAGGTATTCTCTTTCTGCACACCCACTGCAGACTGATGGCTGCTCTGTGAATGCTTCGGACCCCCCCTCTGTTAAAGAGAGACTGGACATCTACGGCTCTCCTGTCAGGAAGAGTTCCTTAGAGGCCAGGATGGTGACCGACCTCAGATCACCTCAGGCCTTTTCCAAAAGCCCCAGAGCACATGCTGTGGAAAGCTTTTCCAGAGAGCCTACCAGGCCCAGATTACTGTCCACCCCGCCACAAAAGCCAACTGTGCTATTGAGGATGCTCCACCCTCAAGACTCCCATCTTTCCCCCCACCAACAGCTGCGTTCCCCTCAGTCAGCCTCAGCAGGAGAGAGTCGCCACAGGCTCCGGAGGAACCTTTCCTACGACTCCTCCCTGCCATTATTGCAGGTCCCTTACTCCCCAAAGAAGCTCGACGAGGACTTTCTAAAGCTCTACCACAAGTTTGTCTGCCAGAACAAGTCCTCTATCTTTAATGGGATTTCCTGCCGCCTCTGTGTGAGAAGCTCTGAGGCCAGCAAAAGCTCCTCTTCCTCGGCTCTTGCAGCTCTCGCCCTGTCGCCGCACCGCTCGGTCCTGAGGAAACGCCACAGGGAGTTAAACTGGGACAGCCAGCCCCAGTCGAAACGCTACAGGGACGAGTTCTGCCCGTCCTCTCCCGGGTCCGCACGGCACGGGAAAGAGCTTCTGAGGCGCCGTCTCGCTCCGTATGAATATGAGCAGTCCCATGATGGCGTCTCCGATAGCGCCGCGAAACCCAACATGTTTCAAAGATTCAACACCCAGCAGCGCTCAGCAGAAGCACATCAGGAGACCTGGATGAGTCAGCACCGCCATGTGTCTGCAGCTGATTTGTATGACATGGGTAAGCCTGCTTTGTAAAACACATTATACTGCAGGATACTTTATTTATGTCCTGTCTGATGTTTAAATTGAGCCATTGTATTAATTTGACCCATTATTATGCTTTTTTTCTACAGGAGTTCATAGAAGAAACAATGGCTGCTCTCCCAGGTGATTGTAATGAACTCTGTACAGTGTTGTTTTTTTCTATGCAAGACCATTGCTGCCAATGTGACGAAAGAAAAAAGTTCAAGTAGGTCATACAAGAAACTTTCCTGGAATAATGACTCTGTTTTAGCTTAAAAAAATTGAATTATTTTGAGACAGCTTGCCATTCTTTGAGATAAATACTATATAATGGAGTTCAGGAACAAGTCTCATGATTTAAAGACACTTAAAGGTCCCCTATTATACTCTTTTTCAACAATATATTATAGATCTTAGATATATACAAAACATGTCTCTGAAGTGTTTGGCTCGAAATACCAAACAGATCGTGCATTGTAGCATCCCATAAACCCCTCCTATTCAGCCCTGTTCCAAAAGTGCTGATTCTGTATCTGAAGATTTAAAGGCTAATGAGCTGCAAGTGGCCACGCCCCTCTGAGAAGTGTTTGGTCTAGAAAAACTCAATGATCTGGGAGGAGATTCAGGTGATAAGGTGGGCGGGTGTTACGTTGGTTGGTTATTGGCTAACGGTTACACAACCCAAAAAAACATTGTGACATCACAAAAAGGCCAAAATCTGATCAGCTCATTTCAGACATGTTTTTATATTAATGGATCAGGTGAGAGAATCTCTTAACACAGAGGGGACACGTATGTATACATTAGACATGAAAAACTGGATTTTGAGATACTAACGGCCCGTCTACACTACAGGCATCAAAAATTCTTGAAGCTGGGCGTGTCTGAAGCTTGGCGATTTTTTGCGACCAACAACCAATCACATGAATCTCCCGCCCCCGACATACAAAGCAATAGCAATGTTAAAACGAAGTAAACTGGATATAAACTCCCCAAACAGGCGAAAACCTACCAGTTTCACCCACTGTCTCTGCCACCTCCCTCCATGCCTGGTTCCTCCGGTTTGTATCCCGGTAAATAGTTCTGGTCGTAAAGAACCGGGTGATTTGCTACCGTAATTTCTCGTTTGGAATATGAGGAAATGAACTGCGGTCTGGCTCTCCCAGCTTGCACGCGGTTTGATTGGCTAGCGCTTGTACTGGCGGGATTTGCATAAACGGGATTTGATTGGCTGATGCCAGCATCGGGAGCATCAAAAGTTGAACATTGCTCAACTTTTGATGCTCACGATGCTTGCAAAGCCATGCTCCGCTCCCCACAATGCAGTTCGGCGAAGATTCAAAATCTTCTACGTCACCCCATTCAAGTGAATGGGCGAAGCGTTGAAAGCATTTTTCGATGCCTGTAGTGTAGACGGGCCGTAAGTCATTACTTAATTTGTTTTCATTTCATCACAAGGCTTAGTTTCAAACTTGTTTCTTTTACTGGCAAAGATGGGATTACCAAGTTTGTTTTTGTGCTTCCGAGTATTGATTTGTTCTCATTACCCTCTATTTTTTCAGAAAATGGTGTTGAAAAAGGATTACTGCGGCCTGCCAAAAAAAAGAAGGAAAACCATTTTGAGGAAAGTTGCTTATGAAATATTGGTGAAAAGGAAACAAATGATCACTAAAGCTTAAAGCATTTTTCTCTCAGCGAGCCAAGGATCTTGGATCAGTAAATGCATCCGTTGAATTTTATATTTCTAAGCGTCTGTCACACGTTCATTCATTTCTCATCCAAGTTGGTGTCTGGATGTCTTGGAGATTTTAGTCAAAGCTATCTATTTTATTATGATTGTTACTCTTAGTGCTCTAAACCTTTTCATTGTTGTGCATGATACATCTATACCCGAGTTAATAACATTTCTGTTTTTTATCTATTCATTCAAATAAAATGGTCAGTCTCAAAATGCTGATTTTGAACAAAACCATAAGATTCTTTGATTTGCAGTTATTGTGTTTATTAAACTTTACATTATATTCATGCAAGTTTTAAAGTTTAGACAAAAAAATATCGAACAGTCAGACCGAAAAAGAAAAGCATGGTTCATTTCAGGCAAAAGGAGAAAGTCATAAACGTGATCAAATAAAGAGTTCTCTCTTTTGGTCATGAGCCTTGTGCACTTTTTTGACATGGAATGTGAAAACTAGTATAAAGACTTTTACGAAAAATTCATTTACATGGTAACTTTCAAAAACAAATAAAGGCATGACATGAGGGAAGTAAACAGACTAAACTGCAGCAAAGAGAGACTCAGTAGTGGAGGTTATCCAAAGTAACATTTTCAACATAAAGAAAAGTTTAGATGTGAAGGTTGTATGAGCTACTTCAGCCGGTGTATACAGAATATAACTGTCTGCATGTCCTCAGTTTGCAGAAAAGGCAAAGCATTGTACTGCTGGGGACAAAAGTATACTTTAGCCACATTATTGACAATATTTTCAACATATTACCTTGCAGTAAGACAGCCTTTTCTGAGGGGGAACTGCAGCTGTTATATGTAGTCATGTGTATGCCACAGGTTTTAGGTGGCTGAAATGCATTTTGGCTGCTGAGCAGAACATGTAATTGCTTGTCCAATTTTGGGGCATGCTGGATGCAATCAGGAAATGCACCTATCCTGTTTAAGTAACTCATACAATCTCACCTCAAAACATCCAAATTATAAGGTTAGATGACGGCATCTGAGCAGGACAATGACACTGTAGAGAAAGAATACGCTGTTTTGTCTATAATACATCTTTTAGTGTCCCAGATAGCGGTATTGAAATCCTTGAACACTTTTCCAGTCCACAGAGATTTCATTTACATGCATCAGCAGTACTAGGAGCCCGCAGTACAGCCACAGAGCTGCTGCAGTCGCTCGTCGTCATGGCGTTACCACTCCAGCTCCACCGGGTACTTCCCGGTCAGACAGGCGGTGCAGTGGCCCACTCTCTTGCCGGACGTGTTGCTGGTGCTGATCATCTCGTCCTTCTCCTTCAGGGAGGCGATTCCCTCCTGAACGGCGGACACCAGGCCCTCCACAGTGAGATACTTAACACTGGCAGCACCTACACAAACAGTTCAAGTATTTATGAGATGAACTAAAGACACAATGAGGCAGTAAAGATCAAGTGGGAAGATGGCACAAAAACTTAAAAATGTGATGTCCTGCATTCAAAACATCACTTAAAGGTGGGGTAGGTCATTTTGGAGAAACCAGCTCGAGTGCGCTAGAATTTGAAAATACACAAACGGAAAAAATCTGCCACTTCCTTACAGAGCCCCTCCTCCAACACACAGGAACGCGCACATGACCAATGAGGGCACGAGATAAGTTTGTGCACCGATGGAAGGTTGACAGGCAGGTAGGCCAGCCAGTTACTTTAGCCGGGCCGACTAAAATGATTGGTCGTGCTTTTTACAGTACTACGGCTTCCACAGATTACATTTTTTGTATCTATGCATTGTCAAAGCATTTCATATTCATTGCTATTGGGATGTTAAGAGCATTCCATGGAATATAACAAAAAGTGTTTCTGAAATAAATTACATACCCCACCTTTATCAGCAAAATGAACTTGTATGTTCCCTGTCAGTGCTTGAATATTATACATGATGCTTTTGGAATAGCATTTCTGCAGCATGCTCCTTTAGTTTTTTTTTAGCTTATGTAGGATAGTTTTTCAACACAGAACACTTCAACTATGAGTAGAAGGAAAACTTGTATCTAATATTTCCTTCTGAAATGTAAAGAACTGTGTGTGGAAGTATTAAGTTGCCGAAAATGGAAATACTCAAGTACCATGGATCTGTACTTAAGTACAGTACTTTTACAACTAGAATAATTTGGCCCTGATATAAAAACTTTGTCAAAAACCTTTTTTTTTTTAATAAATTGTACAACTTTGCCAGACAGATGTATGTGTTATATTAGTTCTTACCAATGTATCCGGCAATGTCCTGAAACTCGGGCTTGTTAGCGATGAGCTCCTCCTTGGTGGGAATATTGATGCCCATGTAGCAGGGGTATCTGATCGGTGGAGAGGCAACCCTTATGTGAACCTGTCAATGACACAATGAAAGGTCAGACTTTGGTCCGGGTGAGTTAGTTGGAAGACCCTCTTAACTTCACCTAAAGTGTTAAGCGGCATGTGCATTTCTTGTGTTTTTAAGTTTTTGCTTTTGATCATTGTCCTGCCCACAGATCAACCCCCATTAAAACATTGAGTGTGTCATATCAGCATATAGACAGGAGTGTGTGTGACATCTCAAGTCAACTCACCTCCGTCGCACCGGCCTCCTTCAGCAGTTTTATAATGGGGGAGATGGTGTTGCCTCTCACGATGGAGTCGTCAATGAGCACCACCCGCTTCCCAGCAAAATTGTCGGTCAAAGCCCCAAACTTCTTGGCAACTCCTAGCTGCCTTAAGCGGGTATTCGGTTGAATAAACGTTCTCCCGACGTAGCGGTTCTTACACAGAACCTCTACGTATGGCAGCCCAGACTGTGAGAGGGGGGAAAGAAGAGATACAAAGTGTTGTAAGGACAGATGTAAATCAGGGGGTGGGTGTAGTACAGCATTTCTTTACACAGTTTGAGCAGACAGCTTGTACACAGACCTGCTGAGCGTAGCCCAGGGCTGCAGGAGTTGCAGACTCTGGCACAGTGCTGACCACGTCTGCGTCGGTTGGAGCCTCGATAGCCAACTGACGACCACAGCGCTGTCTGACAGTGTACACCATCTGCCCTGCAGCAAAGAGGTAGGAAATACTCACTATGCAACACTTAATACACACAAAGTATTCCAATAATTGACACGAAAGTTAAATAGTTCAGACCAGAGAGGTCTGAAGCAGTTATTCATGGTCTGTGATTCAATTATTCAAAAGATTATATATATATATAACTTTTTACAAAGGCCTCATTGTTCAACATACATTTTAATTCCAAAAACTTAACAAATTGTATTTTATTTAACATACCATATTTAGAATCTGTGTTTTATTTAGCCTATGTATACCCCACAAGTTAAATCCTTTACACTTTATTTGATCTACATGATACTTACAGTAATTGAATCAGTTGTATTGTTTTATGGGTAATCTGTTTTGAGATGGCGCAGATATTTCTAATACATGTCTTATATATGTTCTTCTCTTGTGTTGTTCTTTCACATAACTAACAATATCAATGTTTTCAATATATGTCAATCTTTTTCAAAGGGCATAGGCCTACATAAGGAAGTTAGCATATTCTCTATATTTTAAGAATAAAAAACAAAAGAGAAATTGAGCTATAAATATTCAAACCTTCAAAAATAGAGTCCGGTCTGGCAAAGTAAACATATTCAAATATGCAGAAGGCGGGGGGGTCTCCCTCAGGGCGCGGGACGACACTCAGAGACTTGACTCCGTGTTTGGATATCTGCACTATCTCTCCTGGTAAGACCTCTCTGTAATACCTGAGAACCAGAAATTAAATAGAAATGGTCAAAACCCACAACACTTCTATTATAATGCAGAAGATATGACATGTGAGGCAAGAACTGACTTGGCTCCGATGGACTGGAAGCTGCAGGACTCTGATGACACGACCCAGCCCTCGGTGTCCTCCTCTCCTGCACCGGACCAGAAAAAAAGAATGACGTTAATCATCCACAACTTTACACTTCTGACCTCTGACGAAATAATGCTCTGAGCACTGATAAGCTCCTTTGATGTCCTGTGTTTATCAGTAGTAGTAGTTAGGGTATTTTTTAGGACAAACATGCAGTGTCTCTGTTGTGACGGTCACAGAATCTGAATACCTGAGTGCAGCTTAGAGACGGGAACAATCCGTCCAATGCAGAGGGGGCGATTTCCGTAAGGGTCACGCACCGCATAGATAACATCTTTGAACATCACCAGCAGTGAGTACGATGTAGGGGTCTCACTCATCAGATTTTTAATTCTAGAACAAAAACAAAAGTAAAATCGAATAGGATATTTGCTTTTGTTGCATTTATCCAGCATGGAGTCCAAACACTGACCTGGCGACCCAGTTTGGTGCGTCCCGCTCCTCCATAGGTGGAGTCAGTGCCAGCAGCTGGGTGATGAGCTCACTGTCTGAGCTGGTGGAGAGGCCCACTCCGTGACGCATGACCTACACAGCAAATTCACAATGATCGATTCAGAGAAAATATATGGATAGAGATTCAGACAATACTGTTAAACAAGTGTTATTTCACGCACATGTATTTGTTCATGTTTTAAATAAAGTTATGACACACAATAACACTGATGGATTAAATAGTTTTAAGAAACATTGTATATAAAGGCCTTGTTTTTTCCTTCAACAAAGATTTTATTTCGGTGACCTAGGAAGGGCCATTGATAAATAACAGTTTAAGTGAGTTAAGGGGCCATCCTCACCTTTCTCCGCAGGGCAAGAGCATTAACCAGCTCTCCATTGTGTGCTACTGCGATCTTGCCGTGCAGTGTATCCACCACAAAGGGCTGGCAGTTCTGCAGCTCTGAGAACCCAGTAGTTGAATAGCGAGTGTGACAAATACCCAGGTTACCAGAGCGCAGTTTCAGAAGAGCCTCTGAAGGGCAAGCAGTGCTCACTAATCCCATTCCCTAGAAAAAGAAAGACACGAGGAATAGGTGAGATGTTTTCAGTGACACAACTAACAATAAAGGTTAATAGTGTTGTGCAGCCATAATCTTGTAGAGTGGAAAGCCAGGTCACAATCTGATGGACAAACCAGCACAACCATAATCAACCAAGAAGGTCAAAATCTGGTTTTATTGCCAAGTAGGTTAACACAAACAAGAAATAGGCTTTGGTGCTTACATAAAACACAGCAAGATAAATTGTATAATAAGATAAATCATTGTCATTTTGTGTATATGTTTGTGACCATTTTTATTTACATAGCAACTTTAATGAAAAGTAGATTAAATGTTTCCTGCTTTTTTAACAATGCGAGTTGAACTCACACTGTGCTGGTTTGTTCATAAGCTTCTGATCATAACCAATGTTACCTTGTGGGTCGTGTATGTAGGCGGACTGGCTCCATTACTCACGACAAACCCGGCACTTTCCTGACCCCTGAGTAGACACAAACAATCACATGTACAATTTAAAACAGTGTAAATATATCAGTAGAAAGTCAGTTTTACAATGAATGATCCCTCAGTGTATTTTTGCAAGTCAAAACATGCTCAATTATCAACCTAAATATGAGCCTTGAGGCAAACCAAACTGGTTTTTATAAGCAAAATAAAGCAGGAGTGAGTAACCGACAAAAACAGAAACGTCTGCTTCTCCACTGTGGAGATGCCATATACGGAGAGCCGCCTTGCTGCAGATTCAGCCTGTATACCAAGCTGCTTCTCGGATTACAGTTGGTCCCGCCCCCTCGGCACACAGCTTAAGCCAGTGGTGATGCAGCTTTTCAGCATGGAGGCGTTGCTTTCAGGCTTAACCGCCTGGTTGCCTGGGGAACCGGGCAGCAGAGACAGACGGATTGGGGAAAAGAAAGCGTTTCCAGGTCAGCTCAAACATGGAGAGAGGAGCAGAGAGACAAAGAGGAGGTGATAGGGAGGTGGCAGAGGAAAAAGGCTCGGTGGAGAGGCAGTGGGGGGAGGCTGAGGTGCTGGCTCTCATGACAGTGTGGGACGAGGTGGGAGCTCAGCACGTAGCAGAGAGCAGAGCCACATTTGAGCTGATTTCAGAGCGTCTGAGGAGGCTCAGTGTTGTGCGCAGTTGGTGGGAGTGTCAGGCCAAGTGCAGGAGCCTGGGACTCCAGAGCAGGAAGCCAGACGCAGCAGCAGGCACCTCAGCAAACTACAACCCAGGAGTGGATGCAAGGCCAGAGGACAGCTGGGAGGAAGAGGAGGAAGATGTGGGTAATCAAAGAGGAATCTACCATCCCTCAGTCACTATCCCAATACAGGAAGGTAAATGTAGGATCAACCCCAACTGAAGCGCAGATGATCATGACCTCAACATTTTAGTATTTTAATCAACTGATCGATAAAACAAGCATGTCAGTCAAACTGTTGCCTGCTCTAAACATTTGAAACACAATCTAAAGTTAGATTAAAAGTAAAAAAATAATTGTGATGAATTTGTTTTTAATTAAAAAAAAGATAACCGTTTGTGGATTTGTGTACAGGTATCAAGAGTCTAATCCATCAGACTCCTTACACTGCGAGTGTGGCTGAAGAGAGCGGGCGCCACTGGACGGACGATGAGGTGCGAGCGCTGCTGTGCGTCTGGGCTGACCGGCACATTCGGGAGCGCTTGAAGTGCACGCTACGCAACAAATCCATCTTCCAGGAGATGGCTCGTCAGATGCAGAGAAACTTTGGGGTGGTACGCAACTGGAAACAATGTCGAACTAAATACAAGAACTTGAAATATGATTACAAGACTGCCAAAAGCGCTCACGCTGTTCGAGGCAGCGGCGCAGGAGGCCCGGGGAAATACATGAAGTTCTTTGATGAGGTGGAGGGAATTCTACTGGACCGGGGGCTGGAAAACGGGACCATGGAGATGCAGAAGAGGTTGTATGAGGGAGAAATTGGAGCAGAGAGGCAACAGACATCGGCCTCAGAAAGTGAAGTTGTGATTGAAATTGACGATGGTGTGTATTCAGTCTGCAGTGTAATTAGGGCTGCTCGATTATGGCAAGAATCATAATCTCGATTATTTTGGTCAATAATTGATATCACGATTATTAAAAACGATTATCCATTTACTTTGAAAACATCCATTTATTGAAAAAAAAATACGTGAACAGTATGTTTTTAACAGTTGATTACCCTGAACTTTAAGTATGATTCAACTGAAAAACCAATACAAATTAATAAAAGAAAATAGTTTTATTTAGATTATGTTGTTTTCATAATCGTTGCAAGCCAAAATCGGAATTGCGATTAAAATACGTTTAATTGAGCAGCCCTAAGTGTAATTGGTCGTATTGTAATTAAAGCTCAATTTCTCAAATGATCTTATTTTCAGATGAAAACAGTGATGATTATGATATTGATGGAGACATGGAAGCAAGATGGAGAGGAACAGGTACAGTACGCCACGTGAATAACAAGAGCAGTGAAAGTATATATGTAATCTTTTCTTTCTTTAATCGTTATCTATTCCCCCCAGATGCCCATCTTGCACTCACGGATCCGTCCAGCTCTGAGCAGTTCCACGTGGTCACGGTGTCAGACACGGGCCGAAACTGGAGTGACCAGGAGGTGCGAGCGCTCATTCAAGTCTGGTCCGATGAGCGAGTGTGCAAACAGCTGGAGAGCTCGACTAGAAAGAGAGACATCTTTGTCCAGATCTCCAACAGGTTAATGCAGCAAGGCATTGAGCGGGACTGGAAGCAGTGCCACACCAAGTACAAAAACCTCAAGTACCTTTACCGCTCCCTTCAGAGAGGGAAGGGTGAAGAAGCTGACCCTAGGCGCCTTATGAGGTTCTACGATGAGGTGGATGCCATTATGAATCGCACAAGTGATGGCTCACCACAGGAGAACACAGGAACTGCGGACCACCAGGCAGAATCAGACAGACTCACGATGTTGGGAGTCCGTGAGGAGAACAATCATGTAGATGTGTATTTGAGAAAGATGAACGCAGTGACCACAATGGCAGGAGGAACTGAGGACCGAGCATGTGGTTCTGATACGGTCTCATCTATGTGCTTCGATGTGACACCGAACCACGAAGAACTGAGGCTGCATGCACTCCAGGAGCTACGCTTTGATCAACAGCACAGATTAATGAGTGAGCCCAATATCATTAATTATTCACGTTTAGTGTCCAGATGTTTGATGTAAACATTTCACATATAGCTGTCTGCTATCAATTACCACGGACACATCATTAAACCTACAGAAGCAGAGATAGCAGCCAAAAACATTTAAGCTTTGTTTTGATTCAACATATCTTATGTATGATCTCCCAATCTTCAACCAATAAGTGGCATTTTTAAAAGGGTTGGATTACTCGAATTTCTGATAAACATTTCTGCTCAGACCAAGTGTTAACTAGATTTATTTTCCCCTACGGGCACAGCCTTGGCAATCGTTTATATTGCATGTACAAGATGAGGAAAATAAATCTTCGCAATGCCTAACCAACACAACTGTCTGCATGGCTATTTATCTTTTAAAATACATTGAAAATAGACAACAAAAAAGAGTTTGTTTTGCTAGTAAATAATGTATGGTAACTGAGAATGTATTTTGTTTGCAGGCTCTTGTGAAACGCGTGTAAAGACAGAAGTTATCTATTCAGCAAACAGAAGGATGAAGAGGAAAGCTGTGGATCAAGGTTTGAAATGTGCCTCCCTCTTTAAGTCACTTTGTATGTCGCATGATGTCCACAATTGACAGAAATCTTTGTATTTCTGATTGGGTAACATGATTTGCCGTGGAGCCACGTAATTACATTTTAGATAAGGGTACTTGTTTTGTAACTACTGACAGGACGCACAACTCATGATGGCTGTCAGACCAAAAGAAACAGAAACATTGCTCGTCCATGAGAATGTTAAATATTGTATAAGCAACACTTTAAAAAAAACAAATAACAGCATCCATATAATTCAAGGATAACAATCTGATTGTATTTGTTTCTTTTTCAGACTTCACACTCCAGACACCAGTCAAAAAACAGGTCACTGGCTGTGATAACATGGAGGCTGGATGTAAAGAAGAGCAGGATCACATCCCGATAATGAAGATCAATTCAGTCTGTTCAATAGCCTCACCTAATCCATCCCCACAGAGAGAGGTAACACCTACTCACACATGTGTTACAGTACAAAAAACATGTTGCAACCAAGGTAAACTAAAGACATTATTCTTTAACAGACTGTAGGAGTTTAAAGACACGATGCTGCTGAGCTGTGAGAAAATCAGATTATACAGTTTATTTCTGTTTTATAAGAGAGATTGTATGTCATCTTATAAAAGCTGCAACCTCTTGTCAATTAGTTTAACGACAGGAAATTATATTAAGAACTAATTGCACTAGTAATTTTTCAAGAAATGATGCCAAACCAAACATATCACATTTGATAATGTGTTGCTCTTCTGCAATTTGAGTCTACATAACTGTTTCGGACTTTTTTTTGTGGAATTTAAAAAACACTTTGAAGATATCTGTATGGGCTTGTTTTTCTTACTCTGGAATTTGTATAGACAATACATTCAACAGCAGATCACTTAATAGGTTATTTGCACATCTCCACATCCGATAGTATTTTAGTGATTCTGTTACCAAATATTTAGTTTGTGATTAACTTTATGTAGCTACTTATAGTAGATATATTACTGATCACTTTGGCTAAGTTTACTGAAGAAATGTTGACTTTTCAGTGTGGTATTGAACAAAGCCTACTTTAACTTCGATAGATCGATAGATAGATAGATAGATATACATAGTATGTGAATACACATACTATACAGAGATTCTGTTTGAGAAACCAATGTGATTTTGGAACATTGAACAATGTAAATATATTCTAGTATACCTCAACAATGGAATTATGATCAGTAGAAATGGCCATGACATGGGACCTTTAAGTTGTTTATTTAGTTTGCTGTAGCTTATAAGCTTCTTATTTTGTTTTTTAACGTAACTTTATACGGAGTGGTTTTGCATTATTTTCACATTACACACACACACCTTTCTGTAGCTTACCTGTGCTGTAGCGCCACCAGTCCCAGAGTTAGGACCTGAGCCACCTCCAGCTGTGTGGGCCACTCTCCGGCCGCCACACAGCCGAACACCCCGCACTCCTCCCCGATACCGTTATCCTCAAACTCCATCAGGCCTTCGTGAGTCTCGGTCCTCCGGTAACCGGGTGGTTAACAAGTCTCTTGCGTTTTCCTACACCAGTTCTGATAGCATTGAACGAACACGTGTACCGTTGTTTGTTAAAGCCACATGAACTCAGCTGACATTGTTGAAGCGGAATCACGAGTTGTGAATACAAACTTTGTGACAAGTAAATCACTTAGTGCAGTTTTAGCAGAAACATGCAACAGTAGCTGATATAAGATAAATCGATCACGCGATCTATCAAACACACGCGGAAACACGTGGTGTTTACATTGAGTGCCACAAACTCATCTAAATTATCGATTCTGTCGAGCGGTGGGTTGTTCTCTCTTGATAACGTTCTCTGATAAAAATCAATCTGCTTGTCAAAGAGAAAATGGGGGCAGTTTAGTGGATAAACTCCAAAAAACTTCTACTTGCAAGTATTTGGGGTTTTAGCATTTCCCCCCACGTGTTGAGCATCGCGCTGCTGTGATTGGTTGTCTTGATAAGCAAAGGGATGTGATTGGTTATCAGATTACGTACTTCCCTTCTTCTTCTGCCCGCACTCCTCTTGTTGCCTCTTCATCTTGAAACTTTTACAAGTGTAGTGTCAGTTTTCATTTTGTGTTTTCAGGACTGTCGGTTGTTGAAGAACACCACCATGGCCTCCGCATCAGGTACACTGCTACATTAAAATGGATATTTAGGAGATTGTGTTAAAATGCGCAGTGATCTAATTTGGGAATTTTTTTTCTTTTGTGTGTGTGTTTTACAGAGTTGAAGATCGGTAAAAAGCTACATGAGGGAAAGACGAAGCAGATTTTTGAACTTGAGGGTGAGTCCGGAGTGGTTCTGGTTCAGTCCAAAGACCAGATCACAGCGGGGAATGCCGTGAGGAAAGACCAGATGGAGGGAAAGGCTGCCATCGCCAACAAAACAACGAGCTCCGTGTTCAAGCTGCTGCACGATTCTGGTGAGGACACGTTTATTGAATTTGACAGATCCAGAGCCCTAGGGCTCTGGACAGATCCATTCCAAAAGTACTCTGCTGCTGCCAGGTGAAGATTGCAGCAGTTATAAGTGTCATAACATTATTCAGCCTGAGGCCATTTTCCCACGTTGAGAAATATTCTTTAGATTTGTGAGTATGAGTGCATACTTGCTTTATGATTCATTAATATATTCTCTTTTGTTAGTTCTCCCTCACATATTTCCTTATCAAATTCAAATGTTTTGAGTTTTCTGAAATGAAAATGATCCCCTCCCCCTAACAACAAACACTGATCTCGTGTCACAACCTCACAACCTATGGTCACAACTAACAACTTTGATGTGTGTGGGGCTTGTTTGACATTTGGTCAACAACAAAAAAAAGAAACCCAGATCTCCAAAATGACCCACAACTTTGCTTTAATTTAGCACTAATTTGGTAAGTGTTCCCGACATGCCACTCGTGAGTGTGGTAAAGGTTGTCTTGTGACTCGGATAATTCACCAGAACGTGACCAACCACATTTAATATTTAATTAGCGACATCACACAAACTCAAACTCTTTAAGGTACAGGCGTTTCATCTTTGTCTTTTATAAATCAACCCTAAATGGTAACATTTTGACTTGGCTTTCTTCACAGCTCTTGACACTGGAGGTCTGGCTGTGTAAATGTATGTAGCTGATTTTAATATCTACTCTTTCTTCCAGGCATTAAAACTGCCTTTGTAAGGAAGCACTCAGACACGGCGTTCATTGCCACCCACTGTGAGATGATTCCTATTGAGTGGGTATGTCGCAGAGTGGCAACTGGATCCTTCCTCAAGAGAAACCCAGGAGTAAAGGAAGGCTACCGCTTCTCCCCCCTGAAGATGGAGATGTTCTTCAAAGTGAGTCTGCCTTCAATGTGCTCCTTATGTGCTGTGGCTTGACTAATTGTTTTCACATGTCAAAACTCATCCATTTTAATATGTTGCTCTCTGCCACAGGATGATGCCGCCAATGACCCTCAGTGGTCAGAGGAGCAGCTGCTGGAGTCAAAATTCTCTCTGGCTGGGCTCACTATCGGTCAGTGCGAGGTGGACATCATGAATCGCAGCACTGTGGCCATCTTTGAGATTCTGGAGAGGTCCTGGGCCACTCAGAACTGCACGCTGGTGGATATGAAGGTATGCAGTGCAGCGCTGCCCTCTGCTGGTTATTCAGATTTCCTGTTGTGAACTCCGACTACTGAGCTCTTTTTAACTGCTTCACAATCAGGGTTTATCATTTTTGTTTATAGATCGAGTTTGGCGTGAATGTGAAGACTCAGGAGATTGTCCTCGCTGATGTGATCGACAATGATTCATGGAGGCTGTGGCTGGCTGGAGATCGGAGCCAGCAGAAGGATAAGCAGGTCAGGCCTTCTCTTTGGTATATCTATTTAATTTCGACACCTTTATGACTTTATATAAAGGCTAAAAGTTTCCCATATTACTAGGTGTACCGAGACCTGAAAGAAGTTACCCCTGAGGCGATGCAGATGGTGAAGAGAAACTTTGAGTGGGTCTCCGAAAGGGTCAAGGTACACTTAACATCCAATCTACGGAGATATCATGACAGTCTATTTGTTTACTTTTAATCAACTTAGTATAACATATCTAAACAAAGTTGATTATATTCAGGGCTGGACTGGAACAATAAGTCTGGCCAGGGATTATACAGCCAGCCTGGCCAATACCAGTTTTGTTTGGCCTTTTGCTGGTTGAACCGTCAATATTTACATTTGCTGCCCATAGTGCAGTATAAATCTTACATGGCCTTGCATGGAGCTAATGGTTGCTGTGCTGTGTCTCTAGCTGCTGCTGGAGCCCCTCGCCAGAGGCAGGGTGGTGGTTCTGATGGGCTCCACCTCCGACCTGGCTCACTGTGAAAAAATCAAGAAGGCCTGTAGCTCCTTCGGGATCCCCTGCATCCTGAGAGTCACCTCGGCACACAAAGGTCCGGATGAGACACTCCGCATCAAAGCTGAATATGAAGGTGTGTATTATTTTATGTATCTTTAAAAAAAGTAGGTATTTAGTTGCCTGTCATGTCATAATATCTGTATGCTTGTCCTCAGGTGATGGCGTACCCACGGTGTTTGTGGCCGTGGCCGGCAGGAGTAATGGCCTCGGCCCGGTGATGTCTGGAAACACTGCGTACCCAGTCATCAACTGCCCTCCTCTCACTCCAGACTGGGGTGCACAAGATGTCTGGTCATCCCTGCGTATGCCAAGTGGTGAGTATGGCACTTCCCGTCTTGAATTGTTTGTCCACATGTTAGTTTTTTCATTATAATAACCAGGCCCCTCCTCCTTCAGGTCTCGGCTGCTCGACCATCCTCTCCCCTGAGGCCGCTGCTCAGTTTGCCGCGCAGATTTTCGGGTTGACCGATCATCTGGTGTGGTGCAAGCTGAGGGCCTCCATGCTCAACACCTGGGTGTCTCTCAAGCTGGCTGACAAGAAGTTACAGGCCTGCAGCCTCTGAAAGGCTCCTTTCACCCTTGTGTTGTCTTCTTAGGCTCCACGTTCTGTCACTGATGTGTCTTTGTTTACCATGAGAAGCCACTTACAGTAGATGAAGTCTCCCTATGATTTCTCAAACGCATAAATCATTCCATTAAAGAAAGCTTCTTAATTAAAAGCTTGTGTTGTTATTTTATCCTGTTCAGACCCTCGCAAATCTGCCAAGAAAAAGCTAAATATGTCCACAGTAACTTTTGAAAATTATTTGGAAAAAACAATAGTTAAACATTTTTCAATATTCACTTGAAGTGTTTTTGGCAAACATTTATGTTTTTAGTATTCCTCCACAGGAATCATATTCCTGTGGGGGTGGATCAGAGTGGAGGAGTTTGGACTTCAGTATTTATAAAAATCTTGGCTTTGACCCTGATTGTGATTTGTGCCAAAGTATGCTTGTCTTGCCAGTTGTCAAATTATGATTTCATCTTTTTGAATAAGATGTTAAGTTGACGGCATGGTAACTTGAAGTTTGAGTTTTTTTTGGCTGTCATGAGATGCCGGGATCAAGTTCAAAATCAGCAAATATTTGTTAAAGGTTTGAAATTATACCTCTAAAAGCGGTGCAGGTGTATATCATAAGCACTGCATATGGGTTGATGCACCCATTTTTATAGCTTAAATGTCATTCATATGGTCTTATTTCATCTGCATGTTTGACATGCATAGTTTTGTTGCATGCTCTACTATCAACAGCATTGTTTTAGAAATGCAGATGACAACCAGATCTCCTTTAAATTATGTCAAAGCCCTGACAACACCCACATATACAATCTAATCTGAAAATATGGTTAGTCATATTGATACCTTGCAAGACAGGTTGTTACGACCCCCTCCACTCCACTAGAGGTCTCCGTCTTTGTGTTCTGCTGGCTGGCTCTTGTTTGTGTTTCAGGTGATCAACCTGATGAGCCACACATCTACATAAAAGGCCAACACCAAACCATACTGCCCTCTCACTCTTCTGTTGGACACGGCCGTGTCTTTGTTTCTGCACATTTTCATACCCATACATGCAATTTTTTTGCATACCCATACATGCAATCATTACTGATAACTGACTTCCACGTTTAGGTTTCTTGAAGACCTATGATCTCGGTTATAGTAAATAAATATGATTTTTGTTACACTTAACTTGTCAGGCCGTAACACAGGTGCATAACCTATGTATGAGTGGCTCTGCTAATGTCGTATAAACTAGAATAGAGAGCTGCAACTCCAGTTTATACATTTCCCCCTTTATAATTCTCATTTCAACCACATCCATGTATCTGTCATCTGCTCAGTTGTGGGACTTCAACTTGGCCACAAGAGGGAGCCTGTGTCCCATGTGGACGATGCCAAATCTTAACCTTTCAATCTGTTCCAGCAGTTTGCAGCCAAGGGAATGAGTCAGAATATCATGCCACCATTTTATTTTGTACTTCTATTATAGCACAGCTCTCCCTTTTGATAACAAATGATGGGTCTAACGACCTATGGTGTGCTAAGTCTTTGTTCACATGTGGGTGTAAGTGGGAGGATGGAAGTGCTGAGGGTAGAGTGAGATACAGATGAGTGTAGTCAAGCTGATATCTGACAAAAATCCTCTGCATTTTAATTTGGAGTTGAATTTTGTGCTTACAAATAAAATTGTACTGCATGGGAATCAGCCTTCCTATCCGTAAATCTATATGCAGCACAAGGATTAGAGGTATGGAAAAATAACTGAAATGGACATAATATGTATGTCTCAGTGATTCAATGTCTCCTTGACAACCGTAACATGGCAACAATCACTATACAATAATCTGTTTTCTCTCCTTTGCTGCTTCTCTTATTGCCACACTGAGCTCTGTAAGTCTGCATTAAATCTCTTTAATTCCCTTTCTCTCTCCTCGCTGGCATTTGATTATTTTACTGCTTACCATCCCCATGGAGACTACAATAGCTCGGTGTCAAGGAACACAACATGACTCATCAGAAAAGTCTCACCCACTAATGAGTTCTGAATGTGTGTGGTCATGATTCTAACCTGGGTTTAAGCGGTTGTTAAATTAGATTAATGCTTCATTGTCATAATAATAATGTGAACTTTGTAATAACGGAACCCATGCAGCGACTTTCTCAAGACTCAAAAAATCAATTTATTTAGCTCTCAAAGCTATCAGGGTGGTATTACAGTAAGTATCACTACTATAGTTTATTTACATGTGTTCTACCACAGTATGTTATCTTCTTCTGTATGCTGCTGCTGCTTAGTCTTGAGTACAAAATGTGTTTATCTTTCTATGGCTAAACATCATCACTAACATTATTATTTTCTCCCTCTGTTCCTCTGGATGTACATGATCTTCACTCATAACATTGTCCTGCCATCCCTCGGGCACTTTCACACATCCTCTGTTTTACTTAACACTTTCAGCTACCTCTGTAACTACTCTAACAATTTGGCTACATGCGGCGCCCAATCACAGCGCTCCCAGGTCGTGGCACGAGCGGGACTTCTGTCTCAGGAACTTTCCCACGTCTCTGTCTCGCGGGTACCGGGGCACCAGGCTGGACAGGAAACGTTTGGCACGGGAGGTTATGCTCTCACGCTGGCCTTCGCCGATCATGTCCTCCGCAGTGGTCCCGGGGGGCCACGGGGACTGGCCCCTGGCGAGCCTCACCGCACACTCCAGGAGCTCCGGGGTACGGTGGTCCAGAGAGGCAGAGATCTCCAGATACAGACAGTTGAAGAGGGCGGCGCTGGACATGGCCTCTGAGGTAAGAGAAGGGAAGGAGACGGGAGAAGAGGATGAAGCTTTCACAAACCTAAGGTGTATATTTAAGGTGACAGCTAACAATGTTCACTCAATGTACACACCTTCCGGCGCAGACTGAAAACTCATCTCTTTCGACTCCACTTCGATCGATAGAACTATTAACAAAGCACTTATATACTAATAAAGGGCTGGCTTTTCTAAAGCCAGTTGAGTAGCACTTGAAATGTTTTTGCTCTATGAAGCCTGATGTACTTATATGATTCTGTTTTCTTCAAGTTTGTATTTTGTTGGTCGAACGCACTTATTGTAAGTCGCTTTGGATAAAAGCGTCAGCTAAATGCAATGTAATGTAATGTAATGTAATATATTTTGTTAGCGTGATTTATACCAAAACACAAAATGATACCTCTTCTTCACCACCATAAAACAAACTCCAACACTAAAACAATTTAAACATACAGCGAATTTAATAAACAAGCCAACAAGGGGTAAAAAAACATCTAGTATATTTACTACTAAACTAGTAGATGTTTTTCACCTAAATTATTTAATAGCGCTCTGTAGTCATAACAAACAAAATGTCATTTGAAAAAAACAAAACATAGCCTATAAACATATAGTGCCTTATACATAATTTAAAATGTTGCTACATCTTTTATAGACTTGTTGAAAGCGGAGACTTTGACAGCAAACAAGGGGGAAGACAGTTTACTGTAAACAGTGTTAAAGGCCATGAAAATATATGTTCTTAATCAACTTTTTGCAATAGTTTGTCCCCACAAAAAAACACACTATTATCTGCCTAAATTGCAAAACATCAGCATCGTTAACATGAGATTTCTGTAATTCTGTTCTGAAATCTTCGCCCTGTCCACTTAGATCCTCACTTAATGTGGACAGGGGGCTCAGTTGGGAAAATGTGATATGAATATGAATTTAAACATTTGAATCAGAATGGCAGGACAGTTGTAGTTGCCGCCTGTTCCGAGATGTTTTCTCCATCACTAAAATCTTTCTTCGACAACATCCTGAACCTTACTCAATATAGAAATGTGTGACTCTCCTAAATGATAGGATAATCATCTTTAGTTTCAGCCTGCTGTCGGTGGCACACAAACAGAATATTAACTCTGTGATCGGATGATAGTGGCTGAAATGGACCTCGGGAATCTCTTTAAAAACGTTTAGGTGCCAAGGCTTTTACCTTTGAGGTGGGTACTATGGGTGCCTGATAAAGCTGCTTCCAGAACAGCAACGGATGTTTAACTTTGATTGTTGCTTAATTAGTAAGTCATTTTCAATAATGAAGGTAAATACTGAAGGGTTGAAGCCAAGTTTTCAGGGGCTTTAATTTGGGAGGTAATTTATAGCTGCACAGCAGTCCACTGTAAAACAGCATGAATGTGAAGATGCAGTGCACTCACAGTGAATGCTCTCCAGCTTGAACTGAAATTGCAACCCTCTCTACACTCCCACACTGTGATAAAGCTGATACGCTGACATTTACATTCTCACATATTCCACCCTAGTGTTTACAGATAAATATAAAGAGCTGAAAATGTCAACACCAACTGTGAGAATGAAAGCCACTACAGAAGAAAAACCACGATGCAGGTGAGGAAAAGGGCAATACGTTTAATAAGAAAATATGAATGGTTCCACATACCTTGAGAGGGGACCTCACGTGTGCGAACGAGGTCACTTTTATTACCCACGAGGATGATGGGAGTTTGGGGCTGAGTCTCTCTCAGGAGAAGTCGGAGTTGAGCAGTGCGGTGGAAACTACGCCTGTCAGTCACTGAAAACACCAGGACACACACCTCACACTGCAGAGCCGACAGGTCCTGAGGGACAGAGGCAGACACATTAACTCACAATACTGTAGTCGCTATTCAGTGTATCTCAATAATTGATCATTGTACTTGAGAAAACCACTCAAATTGAGTGAGCAATTACTGAAACACATTGTAAAGCAGTCAAATATGATCTCACACGACTGCCAGCAGGAATCATGTTTTTTTTCAAATAGTAAAACACTCTTGTATTACACGAATTGTATTATTGTAAAAACTGTTTGCAGAATTACAGTGGTAGTGCTGCCGACCGCTGAGTGCTCTATCTAAAATCCCTTGTGGTTTAGGGAGAAATTACTTCAGGCAGCAGCAACTGCAGAACAACTCAAATTCTTACTGACACACACAGTCATCCTCTCCAAACAAGAGAGAGAGTCAAATCCCTAAAAATAAAAATCCATGCGGGAATCCTTCATTCTGTAGACACATGATTGGACCTCAGCTTGACTTTTGTTGGAACTGCCATGGTCCATTGACTTTCCATTTATTTTTTGATTAAGTCCAGAATTGAGCACAGACCA